TTTTTCAAAAAATGGAGGTAGAACAAAATAATTCTAACCTCGTGATAAGGCGGCTTGCTTGTTTTTGTTTTTTTAAGATACAGTTTAGTCTTGACGGATAAGTGCTTGCCCAAGCAATGTATCACTTCATAGGGAGTTGTTACACCTCAGCAAATAAAGTTAATTAGTTTTTTACTTCTTTTTAAATTTTGCTATTTAAAATCGCTATCAATATTTTTTTTTCATCATAAAAGCATTTATGAGATTTATAACTAAAATGTTTTGTTAGGGGAAGGGGGGGGGGGGTGAGTCTTCAAATAGCGTACGAAAGCATATAGGGGGGGAGGGGGGAGTCAGCTAACTAGTAGAAATGTTAATTTTCTAACTAAAGGTTCTAGTTTGCCATCATATAAGGATGCATGGTATAGGGGAGTTTAGGATATAGTGTTCTTTTATGCACATACATGCCACCCCTTCTACACTGGCCCTGACTATACATTACTAAATAAATAAATAGTTTAAAGATTTCTTGTTTTGAAAAGCTAACAAGTAGCACGGTAACAAGTAGCATGGAAACAAGTAACGTGGAAAGCACAAATATCGTGAAAATATGTATAGTTTTAAAAAAACTTTGATATTGCATTTAGTTTTATTTATTTCAATATTTTTTACCAATTATTGCTAGATTACACGCTGAAAGAACCTTTCAACAATATTTAAATTTTAAAATACTTTAAATAATCAAAACAATCCAAAAAAATCAAGTAACACTAACTTGAGGTATTTTGGCAACTTGTTGATATTTTCGTTAGTTATTTCATTTTGTTTGTTGTTTATTTTTTTTGTTATTGTTGTTTAACCATTTTAATTTGAGGCAGCATTCTAAAATTCTACTAAAAACGTATGTAATATGTATTTGTTAAATCTTTAGGATATTATATATTAAAATGTTTGTATGTTGTATCTTTGCATTATGTTAAATCTTTAATATATCTATTTGAAGTCCTCAACGGAAGAACGATCAGAGTCACGTGATCAGAGTCACGTTTTTTGCTGTTTTGAGAAAATTAATTTTTAAGATTTAAAACACCAATGAACTAAAATCACCCCAAAAAATAATTTTATTTTAGAAAACATTTATTTCTCAATATAGCAATTCAAAGTTTTATGTGAAAATATTGGTTTATGTGTTTGATATTGGTACTGTAAGAGGGGAACTGCTGTTCAGACTTTAATCGTTTTTCCGCTGCATCACTCGAATACAAGCCAAAATATTTCACAGGTTAGTTCCTTGAGACTCATTCTCATAAAAGGTTTTCTTAGTTGATTACTACTCATACCAAAGACAGCAGAATCGAAACGCACGAAAATAATGCGTTACAATAGTAGTATTTTTACATGAGTGTCATCTTTATTGCAGGTATCAAACCAAAGAATACAAGAAGGGAGGAGGAAAATAATAAAAACTAATGCTTGTGTTGCAATAACTCTATAATTATAGACTGATTGAGTTAACAATTAGCATAATATGACGTATCTGTTAAAGAACTATCTTCACAATCAGAAGGTCCAACAACTGGAAGATTGTTGTAGAATTCCTGGTTCACAGGATTACATAGTTTTTTCAGACACTGCAAGTCCTTGAATTTCTCCCTACTGATTGATATCAGGGCAGTGTATAAACACTCAAGTGGCCGTGTTTTTAGATGGGTGGGTTATTTGTTTACCTTTAGGTCTTAAATTCACAGCCACAGTTTCAATGGTGTCTTTCCAGGAATCTCTAAAGCTAATGTATTGCGGATGAGAATCATCAATGTAGACTTTTCGTAAAGTTCTTGTTTTAAAAGAACAAGATGTCTTTTAGACTGGCTTTAGGAAATCTTTGAGTGCCTGAAATGAACATATTCTGGTCACAGGGGATCTCTGTAAAGGAGATGTCTTAACACGTGCATTCCTGAAAACTTGAATCCACTGGCTGGAAAGATTGACTGTTTGATCAGGGCCATGTTACGATGACATTCAAGATAAGAGTGACCACGGGTTGGAAAATGGATTGAGATGCGCTCAAATCGCGCTCAAATCGTCTTTTTGTATTTACCAACCAATGCATAAATCTAAGTAGAGTATAATTCTTATTTTGCCCTGCATACCCATGATAAAACAAATCCAGTCTTGTCACTACTTGATAACCCTAACCCTAACCCATGCCTCTATGAAATGATAAAGCATGGAGCACACATAATCAGCACCCTTTTCGGCAACAGTCTCATCGTAAAAGTAGAAGTATACATTATCTGTTGACAGCATATGAATATTAAAGAGACACAGGTCAGTTAAAGCTTGTAATAAACACCGTTGGAAGTTTAGTTAAGAGTGCATCAATTTTTTTTTTTTAATTGAAAACGACTGTCTCTGTAGAACTATCTATCTGCGCAAGATCTTTCGTAGAAAGTAGTTTTCTTTAGTAGAAAGTTGCAGCTTTTTTTTGATAAAGTTCCAGTTCTTGCTTCATTCTGTCACTTTCTGGGTTGTTTTCTGATTCTGCATGTGACATCTTCTTCAGCTCATCATAAACATTACATGTATTTTTTCTCGGATATCCAAATCCAATATTAAATGTAGTGTTGCAGATATGTCTACATCTTTCATAAGAAACTTCACGTGCAGGGCAAGAGTTTATAAACATTTGATGCATTTTTGCAACATTTAAGTCCTCTGGCAAGTATATTTTCTTTGTAGCACCCATGGCATAATGTGATTACCACGGAAGAACCGGATATGGTCAATCAGTACTTGCAACTCTTTTGGCTTTAGTCGATGAGGTTAATTTGAATTTCTCCCTCTCATGTCTACAGGTGGACGTCCACTGGTAAAACAGATATAACAATATTATAAATAGTATTATTATTTGAAAAGCCAACACAGCGTAAGCCTGCACAATTTTTATTTTTAAGTTATAGTTTAAAAAAAAGTAAACGAGTTACCAATCAGTCAGCAATATTTCACAATCTTTGCAACACATAGATTTATAATAAAAAAATGAAGCTTACCAGTCTTTGACAGAGCAGATTTTATAGTTTGAATCATCCTGTTGAATCATATAGTTTGAATCATCCTAAAAAACCGGTTATCCGGTTTTACACCAAAAATTGTAAAACCGGTTATTCGGTCCTACAATTTAAAAAAACCGAAAACCAGATTTTTGAAACTTTCCGGTTTTTGCCAAGCCCAAGTATTTGGGTTTCAGACTTTGTTTTCAATATTACTCATCTTTGATTTTCAATATTACTTATAACATTTATCTGATAACATTTTTTAATTATCCGACCGGATATTGAATAGCCGGATATTTAAAAATCATCCGGCAGGTTAAAATAATTCAAATCCTAAAACATTTTATAATGACTAAATATTACCGAGATAAACCTTCAAAATGGCGAGTTTTGTTTGGAAATTTTTCAAAATTAATGATAGCTGTGATTTCACAGAAATATTCATTCCACGAAGAAAGCAGATAAGTTAGGGATTTAATAAATCTGGTCAGAAGTCATTTTGCACAACTTCACTGCATAATCACGCAAAAAAAAATTCCATTGTAAATTGTATGAAGAGGGGAAGAAAAAAATTAATATTGAGTTTTCTTCAGCTGCACAAGGAAGTTCAAAATGTATTAAATTCTGATTAAGTCTCCTTTTTAAAAGCTGCTCAAAGAGTTGATGTTTTCTTTGATCACTCGAGTATGGAAAAAAATAATGACTTCTTAAATTATTGGAAACATGAAGAGAAGTTTTCACTGCTAAAAGAGTTAGCACCAATGTTGCTAGCCCTACCTGCATCCTCTGTATTTTTGGAAGATTATTTTCATTATTTATGAGAAAATACGATCAATGCTAGAAATTCTAATTTCTCCACGTTGAGGTAAAAGAAATATAAATGAGTGATAAACTGATGTATTTATTGCGCATATTTAATTTTAGTATTATTTTAATAACAATAATAACAGTATTGAATAGAAATCATTAACATTAGATTATTTAGAAATCGAACATTTCGATATTTCTTTCAGTTTTTAAATGATACTAACTTGAAATATCCGGTATATAAAAAACCGAATAAGTTATTATCTGGCCTGATATCGGATACCGAATAATACTCCTAACTGGCCGGATAGCTTATCCGGGACAACCCTAATGAAAATCACAAGCATTGAATAAACAAAAGATAAAAAAAATTAATGAAATAAATAATCGAAAGTTTAATTAGGTATAAATAATGCTAACATGCAAAAAATAACCTTTAGATAAAACTTAAAAAAAAAAATAACCTTTAGATGAAACTTTAAAAAAAAGAATAACCTTTAGATAAAACTTTAAAAAAAGAATAACCTTTAGATAAAACGTTAAGAGATCAAAAAACTAGATAATTATAATAGTAAATATTATTAAACGAACAAACGAAAATTAAAGGTTGAAAAGTTAAATCGAATGAAAAGAAATAATCATTTTAAGATTTTTACTAGACTAAATTGACTTTTAGTCGATCAGAAGGTTTTCCGCAGTCGATTAAAACGACTATTCGATTTTTCAAAGTCGACTTTCGACAAGTCGATTTTAAGTCTATTTTCTAAATTTTTGGTGTATGTACTTTATGGACGACCCCTTTTGCTGTGTAAAATGAATTTAGGAAAATTTTAAAATCAGGTAATTAAAACATTTAAGCAGCCGTGGCGCTGTAGTTAGAGTTTTGGCTGAGAACCAAGAGATCCGAGGTTCTGCCGGCTCTGGCAGATGAGCGACATCGGTAAGAAAGGAGGCGTAAACTTCCTAGTTAAATGCTCATCCGCATTGTGATAATATTGTGAAGACTTGTGAAGCACCTTAGTATTGTGAAGACTTGTGAAGCACCCTAATATTGTGAAGACTTGTGAAGCACCTTAATAACCGTAAAAAAAGAAAGAAGTAATGCAAATTGAGAATATAAAATCTTTTCACCACGATTATTGAAATATTGAATAACCTATGTAGTGACAGTTTGTTATTTGAAATTCACATATTTACAATATATATATACATATAGACAAACCAAAAATATTTTTTTTTTTAAGTGATTATGATAAAACCATAAAAATAAAACGGTTTGAACCTAATTTTTTTTAAAAGAATTTTTAAAGTTAACGGTCTTAAAAATGACATCAGGACAAAATTTACTTGGAAACACTTTTATAAACCGATCGTTGAAATCGTTTTCTCAAACTGTCAGCATCTAACTTGCGAAAAAAAATAGCATTGTTATTGTTCGTCAATTGAGATTGCACAGTTCTCAGCTCTCTCTCCATTCGCTTACGCATTTCTGTACGCATTCTAAGTAATACCTTTAATAAAAATAAAAAGATAATAAATAAATATAATGAAAAAACAACTAAAAATAAATAAAGATTTAAAATATCATTTAAAAATGAAGTCAATTATCAATTGTTTATATATATCTTCTTGATATTTTTACTAGAAGAAATTATTTTTTATTCTGATTCACTCCCAACAAGGCAGTAAGCAACCACAATTTAGTTGGGAGTTACTAGAAAAAAAGAATAGAGTTATAAAGCATGGAAACGGTTGACAGAAGACTTGAAAAGTTGTAGGTTGTATGAATAAAGAAAACATGAAGATGGGAGAGAGTTCCAAAGGGTTGAAGTGCGGGAAAAAAACTAGACAAATAAAAGTTTTTAGAGCATGCAGAGACAGATACAGTAAAAGAATTAAAAAAGACTTAGTTGAATGACGGGTCAAATAAGAATGAGTTTTAGTTGATGGAACTAGAGATGATAGCTCCTTTGAACAGTGATGGTATTTGTAGAAAAGAGAAAAAGATGCAACTTTACGATGAAGGGAAAGAGGCTCAAGCTAAGCAGATAGAGCGGGTCCAACTTCGTTTACAATGCGTTTTTGGACCTTGTCAAGAAGAGAAATAGCATCATTAGAAGAACCAGCTCAAATATTACAACAGTATTTCATACAAAAATGAATAAGAGATTTGTAGAGGTAGACTCCTAATTTCATTAATCAGGAGTAAGAAAATGGTGAGAACGATAAGGAGAGGCAACCTTAGCGGATGCAAATTTAGCAATCGATTTTATATATGGTTTCCATGAAATGTCAGTCGTAAAAGGTAATCCAAGAAGACGTAAAGAAGACGTCTCAGTGAGAGGGTTACCATTTATATAGGAATGTCGACAGTATTACGATAGTTGTTTGCAGTAAATAACTGAGTTTTGTTAGAGTTAGAACTTACAAGCCACTGTAAGCCCCAATCTGTTACAGTAGTGAGATCAGATTTAAGGTCGGGTACCTGTTCTAAACGACCAAAAAGAGAAGACTTTTTGTCAAGACAGGAATATAAAGACATCAGCAAAAAGCTAATTTAGACGTAAGGTTGTTGGGAAGATTATTAATGCAGAAAATTTAATTTGAAAACAATTTTACTACTTTAATAAATTTTTTTGAAAAAAAAAACTGTATAAATGGTAAGAAAAAATAATCTATAAATTACCATTGGTGAGATTTTTTTTCTTTGTAGGAAATAAATTTATACAAAAAAATGAATCAGAACTCACATTTGTTTGCGCCCTCTGTCTTATTTCCAACTCTTCTTTCTCCCGAGCAATTGTGTCAGCTAGCATGCTTAACTGATCACGATAGCTTTAAATCAAGGTGAAGGAACAATCATATATGTGTAAATACAGTGTAAATAAACTTATATATAAAAAAGGATTAAAGATTTTTATAAAAAACACAAACAATTGATTGATTTATAACTTAAATGTGAACAAGTTTGTTAAACAAACAACTCTATAATAAAAAAAACCACAAATTATAGTAATACAGAGTTTAAATTTTGGTACTTTTACCAAAATTTAAACTCTCTTTTACCTTAAAATAATAATTTCTTTTGCAAGATTTTTAAATTGCAGTTTTCAAGAGTTGCTGCTTTTACCCATTTAACATTTATTCATCAATTGCATCTAATTTTAATGTAAGTGTTAAACTACTTTGCTAACTGGTACAGAGCAACTAGCTCAGATATTAACCAAATTTCTGCAGCAGTAGCTGCTGCTGATTTATAAGAACAACTTAAAACTGAAATTCAATTCATATAACTGATGGCTTATATAAAAATTGTGGTAAGCTAAGTTTCCATACTTTTCAATTACAGTTTTGTCAACATGGATATACAAATCAGGTCAACAAAACTGTTTAAGTTTTTACATCCAGATTATTACTAACTTAATCAATATTAAGTCATATTAACTTAAAATTCTTTTAAAACACTTTATGTGCATTAGTAAGTTTTAATTTTTAAAGGTAATTAGTAAAAAATCAGATAAATTTTGTTAACCTTTACCAAACATTAAAAAAGTTTATAGAATGTGAATTGTTTTACAAAAAAAAAAAAAAAAAAACAAAACAAACGAAATCATTAAAAACTAAAATGAATCAAATAACCAATCAAAATGATAAGATGATCAATTGCTAATATAATACAAATGGGCTAAACAATTTAAAAACAAAATGGAAAATATCAAAAAATAAAAAAATCAAATAAAACAAAAAATAAAAAATTGACTTCATGAACCTCAAATCCCTCAAATCTTCTAAATCTTAATTAAACCTTACTTGAATTATCAATAAGAACATTATAAAAAGATACTAGTTTTCAAGAGATTCAATTTCGTTTTGTTGTTTGATTTCTTTTTTTTCTTGCATTTCTTCTGCATACTTTTTCATCTCTCGAATTTGCTGCTTCTGTAAGTCCAAACCCTCTTGAAACAAGTCTTTGAATATCTACAAAAAGGTAACTATTATAAAAACAAATTTTTTTCAAACTGAGGACTTAAAAACTAACCTTTTTTAACAAAACTTAAAAAAATAACAGCCGTTAAAAAATTTGTTCTAAAAATGTATGTTATAAAATGATTCAATAAGATAGACCCTTTAAGTAAAAAATATATTTTTGATTTTTATTAACTTTTTTATTAAAACATAAAATACACACATAAAAAATATAAAATAGTAATATCCTTATACATATATCCAGTACCCATTTTAATTGAGTGAAAATATTTTGATTGTTCAATAGAATATTGAAATGATTTATTATATAATTTATGTGCTGATTTTTTCTTATTTCTTACAACTTCATTGAAGTTTATTAATGTTAAAAGTAAACAGTTTGCATCATTTAAACATGCGACTGTTTTAACATATTCTGCATTATATCAAAAATCTGTGTGTATTTAAATAAACATTGTGTACTATGGTATATGTACTGTGTGGTTTATGTATATGTATGGTGTGATTTGCGCATATGTAATTTATTGTTTGTGCATTTGTAATGCGTGGCTGTACTGTGGTATTAAAAAAAATTGTCTGTGGTACTAAATACAAACCTTGTGTGGTATTAAAACATACTCTTTGTATAAATAATCAAATATTTTGATCTATGCCATTTATTACTGATAGGAATTATATCAGGGTTAGCAAAAACTTGTTCCAGTGGTTCAGTAAGAGAGTAAATATTGATAATAAAAAAAAAAACTTTTTTAGAGCAAATATATCATTTAAAACTGCAGAATACCCCAAGTTTAAGAATACCCAGAGTTAAGAGGTAAACGATTCTATTTGTTGACCAACCTTGCACCCCTTCTTCATCTATTAGGCTGGCATAAATGTATATTTAATACATTGTTACCAGTTTAGGATGTTGAATAATGGATCTTATTGACTCAATGCATGTGTTTTGCTTGTGTCTTTGTTTTTATGACTAGACAACTCATTCTATTATCTTCTAATGAGGGTATAGCTCTAAAACTCAGTTTTATGGTTCTGAGGCCAACTGGTAGTCAGGTTTCACTAATTCTGTGGTATCTCTCAGAGAGACTGATTCCATCAACAGCTGAAAAATATCAAAGTATTAACAGTGCCATGTTGCGCATGAATGGTGTCGCTGTTCATACTTTTGGTGTGCATTGTCGAGGCCACATTTGGAGCGTTTTGTTATGGCTTAGGATTTATTAATAGTAACAAGGCAATTGTTTGGACTATTAAATAGAGTACTGAGTATTATCTGTGGTCAAGTCAAGTCAAGTGTACTGAGTGTACTGAAATTAAATAGCGCTGAATATTAAATGAAATTAAATAGTATTGAAGTTAAATAAAAACTGAAATTAAACAGTACTGAAATTAAATAGTGTACTGAGTATTATCTGTGCTGAGTCAATTTCTTTAACAAACTTAAAAATGACTAAAGTACCAAAAACTATAAAACATAAAAAACCATTATCATCACCAAGTTCTCTAAATCTATCTACTAATATGACTTCGAAGTAACTTTTCTTCTGTTGAGCCTTATCTCTTAATTAGTCTCACAAAGACCAACTTGCTCTTTGTGAGACTAATTTGAGTATTGCTGTCTCACCTTGTAATGTTAGTGTTGATGGTTATCTTCCTTTAATTTGTAAAGACACCAATAGTCACATGTTTGGCCTGGGCATCTACATTCATAAGAACTCACCCAATTGTAGGAAATCTAGGTTCGAATTCACAGACTATTTTTTTATGAGTTCTCGTTTAGCACCATTTCACTCTACTGCCTTTCTCTTTGTTCTTATATCGCTTTCCTTCATCTCAAGATTGCACTCTTTTCTATATCATTTCTGATCATATTAACCAAGCATTTTCTCTTCATCCTTCAGCCAATATCATTGTTATTGGTGACTTTAATGCTCATCACACTGAATGGCTTGGTTCTAGTGTCAGTGACTCTGCAGATGTTAAGGCCCACAATTTCTGCCTTTCTCAATTTTTAATACAAATAGTTAACTTTCCAACTTGCTTTCTAGACAATCCAATTCATTTACCTTCTCTAATCGACTCATGTCTTGTTTCTGATCCTAGTCAGTGCTCAATTTCTCTATATCTCATACTTCTTCATCATCAGAATCCCCTTAGAATTGTACCTCGTACAACTACTTTGAAGCTAACTGGGACTCTTTTCAAGATTTTCTTCGTGATGGCTCTTGGGTAGAAATCTTTTGTCTTCCTGCTGACAAATGTGCTTGATTCATAACTTCTTGGATTCAGGCTGACCTGGAATCTTTTAATTCCTCTCGACTATTCTATGTCAAGTCTCACTCCTCCATAATTTTCCTCTCATTGAGCTGCTGCAATTTCAAATCATAACCATTACTTTCATATCTATTAGCAAATCAATTTTCCAGAATGTCTGCTTACTACTGCTATTGTAAAAAGGTTTTGTTTAACGCCAAAACCTGCAATTCTGAGGTAATGAAATTTTGTATTTCATCTCAAAACCTAGGCTCTCGTGACTTCTAGAGAATCTTTAACAGTTTCTATAAAAAGGGCATATCTATTAATCTACCTCTTTTGTACGGTTCAGATTTTGTCACCTCACCTAAAGACAAAGTTGAATTGTTTGCTAAGAACTTCTCACCAATATCATCTCTTGATTCCACTAGTCGCATTCTACCTGATGTAGTCAATAAACAGGTTAATCCATTGCCTGACCTTCGTATCACTTCAGCGTCTGTATCTAAAGTGATTTCCGGCTTAGGCTCATCTACAGCTTGTGGTACAGACAACATACCTGTTATAGTTTTGCAGAAGTGTTCTATGGAGCTGTTGTCAATACTTTCAAAACTATTTATCAAGTGCTTATCAGAGTCTTGTTTTCCAGCCTGGTGGAAAATGCAAATCCCTATTTTCAAAAAATCTGGAGAGTGATCTGACTCAATCTGCAAAATTAACATTTGCTAAGGTTGCATCTCTTTATCGTGCTTGCCACTTTTGTACTCCGGATTCTATTCTTTATCTCGATAAACTTCTATCTGTCCTTGTATGGAATACTGTTGCCATATCTAGGGCAGATCTTCCAATAACACCCTTTCTCCTTAAGATAAGGTGTAAACCTACTGTAAACATAGTCGGACCTGCTCTTGCAGCTAACCTCCAATCATTATCAGATCGACATAATGTTGCTTCTCTTTCTCTTTTGTGTAAATACTTTATTGGGCACGGCTCTAAAGAGCTAGCATCCCTTGTGTCATCTACTAAAATTCATTCTCGTATTACTCATCATGCAATAAAGTCTCTTTTATTAAGACTGTTCCTAAGTGCTCCAAAAATTCTTATTCCCCTAGTTTTTTTCCTCGAACACCAGTTTTTTAGAATTCGATCCCTTTATTTTGTTTTCTTGATTTATATAATTTGCAATCTTTTAAGTCGCCTGTTAATCGTTATCTTGCTCTATAAATTTTTTCTCTTTCAGTAACTTCCAGTAAAAGAAAAAAAAAAAAGAAAAAAAATTTTATAGATATAATCAATACATAAAGACTAGAATATAATCCTCTAAATGCTAAAAAGTTGGGAAAAAAAAAAAATTGAAGAGGGAGTTGAAAGAAAAATAATTGAATCAAAAACTCAGCAAAGATGACATACACATGACTGAACTATTGCAACACAACACATTCTACTTCAAATAAAGAAGTAACAAAGTATTGTACTAAACCCCTCAGTAATTTCATAAATATATTGTATTAAATACCTCAGTAATGTCATAAATGTATTGTACTAAACTTCTCATTAGTGTCCCACCCTATTTTCAAATTGAATTTCTAAGTAGTTTTAATTCATTTTTTTTAAATTAACATTCGATTAGTAACCAAATGATAGTTTTAAACACCTGTAATTTTGTCTGGAAAATTATCTTTTAAAGGTTTTGTATGTATGTATCTTAGGCTTGGTCAGTAATGGTATGCGATTGCACGCTGTAACTGACGCTTATCATTTTTTTCTTTACAATTTGACTACAGCTGTTTTAATGTTTTAATAATTTAAATGCAATAAAAAAAATTGTTACGAATAACTTTTAATCTAAATGTTATATTTAAATATTTTTAGTAGGTATGTATTTTTTATGATAAATTTAAACATTTGAAACTATTTTTCCATGTCTTTCTAAAAATCTTTTAAAAGATTATTTTTTAAAGTTACTTTAAATTATATGTTAAATTAAAATTTTCTTGTTGTAATGATTTGATTGCTTTATTTTTTTGTTTCTATTCTTACAAAGAATTGTTTAAAAGTTCTTTTTTTAAAACTTAACTTTCTAATAAAATGATTAAAAATTACAATTTTAAAAAAACTATGAATATATATATTTTTTTGCAACTTTGTGAAAAAAATGTTTATACAAATTAAAAATAATATATATAACACTATATAATAATTTAAACAAAATTTGTTCATTCATTAAACAAACATTAGAAGTAATTTGTGAAAGTATTTGCGTAAATTTAATAAAACGTTTCAAAAGATAAGTTTTAAAGTAATTTATTTCAAATGCAATTAAAAACATAACAAGAAGTAATTTTTGCTTCGAGTTTGAATTTTTTAAGTTTTATTATAAAGCTTATATATTTTTATCCTAGTTTAAATTTAGCTTCACATTTCTTTTTTTAGCGCATTTCTGAAATGTTTAAATCATCAAAACATTTAAACATTCGTAATCAAATTGTCAACTAAAAAAATCATTTGCATGGTCAGCAGTAGCATTCGATTGCACGCCATTCCTATCCAAGTCTATGTATGTATGTATGTATGTATGTATGTATGTATGCATGCATGTATGTATGTATGTATGTATGTATGTATGTATGTATGTATGTATGTATGTATGTATGTATGTATGTATGTATGTATGTATGTATGTATGTATGCATGTATTTGCTTATATTCATTTTGTTATTTAATGGATTCTTTATTATGACTTATAATTTCATATCAAATAATAAAAGATTTATTCTATTATTTACAAAAACCTTTTCTTCTTTAAAATCTCTCTTTAACATTCGAGCTCTATTCATAGTGACAAACTCATCATAATATCTGCGTGCACGAGCTGATGTCTGTCGCCTCTCTTGCAATTTTTTTCTCATTTGCAATTCTTTTTGTTGCATGTCTGTGTGGTCTTTCTAAAATTTTAAACAAATTTTTTATATAGCATAGTTTTGAAATTACTTGACAAATTTATACTTCAAAAATCATTTACTACAATACTTTACAATAAAATATAATATTGCTGTACAGCAAAAAAAAATTTTGTTATGTTTTGTTGTACAAGAAAGGAAAATTCTTTTTCTTTCATAAGGAGGACTTTATTTTTATACAAAAATATTATTATTATCATTATTCTTTATGATCAAATTGTTTTATAACATATAAAATATCAAAACAGTTATTAAAAATTTAATTTGAAAATACCAATCTTTTATTATGTTCTATTTCTTTATTAAGCAGTTTTGATAGGGCTTCTTGTTTGCGATGTGCTTCCTCAATAGAAACTTGAGTTTTTGTCTTTTTCTGTGTACCATTTTGTTTGCAAATACTGCTAAGATGAAGCAACTGCTTCTTCCACATAAGCTTTGCAGCATGGGGTGATAAAGGAAGAAAAGGAAATTCTTCCTCCATTATTGGCAGGATTTCATCTTCAGGCAAAAATACTAAATAAAAATAATAAGTTAAAATAATCAACGTTTATATCTTTAATAATCAAAGCCATATAATCAACATTAATAATCAAAAGTTAAATTAAAACATTTGGAAAATAAAAACTAGAATGTACCTTTTCTTTGACCTACAGGGCTTGTAGAAGCACTTCTCTTTCTTGACTTTATTTTATCAACGGGTCGACAAGAGTGTTTATTGTTTAATTGATAAGTAAATTTATTTTGTGTCACATGCTTTTTCTGTTTTGCTACAGTAGTTTCTAAAGAGGAACACTCTCCTCCATCTACCTGGAATTTTGTTTAAGAGCTTGAAAATTGTAAAAAATTTTTAGAAATAAAACAATTTAATAAAAATAAAATGAATAAAAAATTTTAAACCTTTTTTCTTTTATTTGTTACAACATTGGGTCTCTTGCTTGTATATTTTATTGGGAAATTTTGTTTTTTATTCAAACCTTTCTCTTTTAGACAATTTTGACTACCTACATCTCTGTATATATTTGAAAAGTTGTTTAAATTTTCTTTATCTTTAAAAAGTGCTTTATAGTCACGTTCAGCAACATTATCACTGCTTGAATCATTAGAATTAGTGTTTTCTAAACAGAAACCTTGCATGCACAAAATTTTAATTTATTAAATTATTCTAATTTATGTAAAATATATAATTTACCCAACAATCAATAAAGAAAAAATACTTTCGAAATAATTATAATCTTTTTTTCGTAAACACTCTTCAATTTTTTTTGTCAACGGGTCTTTCATTTTGATTTTTTTTAATTTAGCAGGTGTAGTAGAACAATCTGAATTAAATTTATTTCATCAATTACTTATACATTCACAATATTTTAATAAACAAAACATAAATACACACATAAAAGAATCAAAACTCATTCAAACTATTATTATGTATATATGGATGAAATCATCAATATTTTTTCTTTAGCAAAAATACTAAAATGTAAAGCTTAAATAAAAAAGATCTACATATTTCTGAATCACTGAAAGATGAACGACGATAATTTCCTTTGAATGCAAAAGATACTTTGTGCTCTTTTTTTTGATTGTTAGACTTCAAGTTACTCTTCTGCTCAACAGATTGATTATCATTGGAAGTCAACAACACATTCTTCTCTGAATGTTGAGTAAAATGATTTGAGTGTTGGGGGAAATGATCTCTCAGCTTCTAAACAAATATTATTTATTGAAAATATTATTTAAAAAACCAGTGATTTAATGGTAGTGCTTATTATCTGACTAGAGATCCTTATCACATCTTTGATAACAAGTCTTATTTAACAGAGAAGAGAGTGTGTACCACACTTGCTTCTCTGTTAAATAGCAAACTTGTCAATCTACTTTAGTGTACTTGTGTAATAAATTGTTACCTTATTTTTATTACATTAATTTATATGGTGTTTTAAGAAAAAGAAGAAATGATTAAAGAAAAGATTGCTACCCTATGCCCAACTCTCAGCCTTTGTGGCAGCAGGCTATAAGATAGTTGATGTATGTACTGAGGCAGCACCTTATTTCAGTGTGATGTCAGAATGCTTATCTGAACACGCATTAATAGTTCATTAGAAATTTCTTAATTTATTATTTCTTAAAAATAGAAAAAAATGTAATTAATAATAACCAAAATAATAATAACCTTGGATCAAAACGAAAAATACCCTACCATTTTTCCCTTGGAAAATTTTGAAAATAAAATATGGCACTTAATTAAAACATTAAAGATTCATTCAATTCAAAAAAATTATGATATGATGTGTGTGTGTATATATATATATACACACACACATATATATATATACATATACATATACATATATATATATATATATATATATATATATATATATATATATATATATATATATATATATATATTACACATATTTATATATATAAGATTTTTAAGTCTTAACAAACACTTAATCTCTAATCCTAAATTTAATAACTTATTTTCTGATAGTTACTAGATTTAAGTTGAGATTACTAGTTTTAAGTTGAGATTATTAGTTTTAAGTTAAGATCAGCATGCCAAACTTTATCAAAGGCTTTAGAAATGTCAAGAGTGATAGCCTTAACCTCTCCACATCTATCTAATAAACAGTAAAACCTATCAGTAATTACCGTTAACAAATCAGCAGTAAAACAAGAAGATTGAAAACCATATTGATGATCAAAAAGTAATTTATTAGATTGTAGATGAGAGATTATGTGTTTGTTATTCACTTTCTAAATACATTTATTAATATTATAGTTCTTATTAAATTAATAAAAAAAGTCATTCAATAAATATATACAATATGAGATATTAGGAACTTTGTTAGATATGAGGGCAGGGCATCGCTAGGAAGGAGTTGTTTTTTAAAAAAAATATTTTAGGTTGATATTATATTGATTTAGGTGCTATTTTATTGAAAATAACAAAATACTACAAAATATATGAAACAATGGTAAACAAAATACCTTTAGTCTATCATGCACTTCTGCAAGATTTTTCAGGCGAGTGTTTTTGTCGACGTCTTAATGAAAATAAAAATATTAGAAAACAAAAAAAAATGTGATTCAATGCAGATTAAACACAAAAAGAAATGAACATCAACATTAAACAACAACAACAAAAAAAATGTTTTTTAGAGTGATATTTAAAATAACATTAGGTAAAATTAGAAGTAAAAATAATCGATTTCGTTAATGTGAATGAAAACTGAAATTAGGAATTATTTGAAGAATGAAAACTGAAATAGAATTGAATACAAACATCAAAAATGAAAAAAAAGTTAAACTATTTATTATTACTGAAGGAAAATTCAAAAGTAAAATTTAAATAAACTTTTTTTGACAATTTATTTACACTTCCTTTATTGTTGCTGTCTTTTTTTTGGCTTGTTTGCCATGCTTTTATAACAAAAGATTAAAAGTATGGTTGACATGAGAGTCAAACTCTTACATCAATGATACATCTTTTGTTACAAAAAAATATAAATATTTAAAGACATTAAAGAGTTGATGAAATGAATGAGAAAACATTATTAGATATGAGAGTTTTTATGCTAGTTTTAAACTAAACAAGAATATGTGATTGAAAATCAACATCCTGATAAAAATTTTCTAAAAAACTTGATAGAAGTGAAATATTAAAACATCCTGATAAAAATTTTCTAAAAAACTTGATAGAAGTGAAATATTAAAACATCCTGATAAAAATTTTCTGAAAAATTTGATAGAAGTGAAATGTTACCTGAATTATGAACTGAAATAAGAAGTAGAATTGTTGAAAACATAAGAACTGAACTGAAATGAATTTTAAGAGAACTGATTAAAACTGAAATAGGAGTTATTTTAAAATTAAAATTAGAATTAGAAATTAAATCAACGCCACCAAAACTGAATAGAAACTGAAAAAGAAATTATATTTCAAATTCAAATATTACTGGCTTTTTATATGTTTACCTCCCCAAGCCCAGGAAGCCACAATAGTCAAGGAAACTGTTTTTTTTTAATCCATAATTATTTTACTATTATTATAAATTAAACTATATTATTATTTTCAAATGTTGTTAGACTCCTACCCTAATGCATCCGTTGCACAGAGAAACAAGTCAAGCTCAATACTTACATGAACATTAAGATTAAAAATGAAAACAAAAGAAATTTAATTCAAAATCATAAAATATAAATTAACAAAAAAAGAAAAAAAAAATTAAATTTTAACAGCAATTGGAAAAAGAAAAAAAAAACATAATAAATGAAAACCACCTGAACAACTAATGTTTTTTTGGAAATCACTATAGGTAGATGTAGATTCTGTTTGAACAGCAGAATCAACTAGATTTAATAAAGACGTTTGAACTTTTTTTGATATTTTGTTATTGGCAAAGTTTTTAAAAAATACTAGCTGATGATCTGATGAGAATGTATCTTCAGAACTATTTTGCTGAACTAAAGAATCTAAACTCATTTCATCTGTTTCTTGTGGGTTTAAGCTAGCAATTGAAGTAGATGAACTTGAGTAGGAAGAATCTAAAATACATCAAAAAGATAGCAAAATGAACTTTAAATTTTGATTTATAAATATTTTTCAACAAACCATTTGCTTTATGGTGATAATGGTGGTGAGTGTGGCTATGTAGTTGAACATTCTTCTCTTTTTGAATTCGCTTTTTCTCAACACCCAATGGTTTTCTTGGTCGCATACCTATTTCTTTGATTTCTGAAGACAGTGATTCACAGGCAGAGGTTTTGTTTAATATAGATGACCAGTGAGTAGATGATGAATTTTTCTTTGAAAAACAATAAATTAAAAATTCTGTTTAAAGAAATTTTATAAAACATTGTAAATAATAAATACTTATAAATTAAATTTGTTTTAAATAAATTATTTCATTTAATTGATGTTGATCATTCTTTCATTTACACTTAATTTATCATTAAATATTATCATTAACAGATTCTGTTTGAACTAGTAATAAAATGTCTCTTTTTATTTTAGAAATGTTAGAGATGTAACCAAATGAAAAAAGTATTTTATGAAAATACCAGCCAAAGTAAAGTATGAAGACAAAGATAAAAATGGATTTGATAAAAAAAGAAAAAAATTTGACAGCATGCAACAAAAACAAGTATTCAAACAATTAAAATGCTTTTCAAACTAAAAAGTGTTTAAAATAAAAATAAACTTTATCCTTGATTTAGAAAGCTGAAAATAACTTAATATGTAGAAGTTTATCAACTATAATTGGTTGTAATGTATACCAAATATGATTAATTGAGACCAAATATGATTAATTGTAACCAAATATGATTAATTGAGACCAAATATGATTAATTGAGACCAAATATGATTAATTGAGACTAAGTGAATGATCCCTATTTAAATGAATCAATCATATTGTGCTAAAGACATGCTTTTAATTAGAAAGTGTAACTTTTGGCAGTCTTGTATGTAATGCTTAAAGTCACTAAATAGTATTTAATGAATGATTTTATAAACATTTTTTCAAACATGAACTAAATTTTACAAATGAAAAAGAGAACATATATTGTTTTTAACTTTCCATCAGAATGGTTCATTGTTTATTATAAGTTGTACTTTATATTATGTTTGGCAAAAAAAAAAAAAATTCAAGAATCGCATTAAACCTAAAAAAATAGACCAATTTAAAACAATGTGTTTTACTCAAAATGTTCATCCAAAGTTGTCTTAAGTAACCATCGTATATAGTAAGCACTATCCATAGTCAGAGGCACTGGAGTTTTAGATATTTGAGTTTTGACACTTACAGACAGTGCGCAAACTCCAAACTTTTGTATGTTCATGCTTATGTCAAATGAGAATGTTTTGCAAAGTATTGCAGTGATTAGAGCATGGAAACAAAAAACCCCTTATTTTTGGGCCCGCCCAGCCCTTAACATGGAAGCAACAAGTTAATAAAATATTTTTCTACTTTTTTTATCAAATTTCATACAATAATCTCTAAGTATTCAGTTTTTATGACCATGCAAAGTTTACAGCTTCCTCAAATTGAGGAGGGTTAAAACTTTATATGGTCATAATTTTGGAAAAAAAAGAGTTTATTGCATGAAATTTAAAATTTGTTGATGAATTTAAATTTAAATAAAAATAGTAGAGAGAATATTTTATAAACTCATTGCTCCCACGTTAAGGGCTGGTTTGGCCCAAAACTTTTGTTACCAAGATCCAAACACCACAATTCTTTAGCATCATTTCTTGAGAATTCTTGATGCTCAATGGCAAAACATTCTCTTTGACATAAGTATGAACATACAAAAGCTTTGATTTTGCACAATGGTTGTAAGTGCCAAAATTCAAACATCTAAAAATCCAGTTTACACCTCTGATAGTAATCATGTTTTAGAAGAATTATTGCAAACTAAATTATATCATGTCAATAAAGTATCATATAAGCTGTAGAATATCATATCAATATAGTACGTTAAAGTGCTTTATTCACATATACCAATTAAATCTAGCCTTTAGTAAAATATAATTAAATATTATATACTTGTGAATTTTTTTAACTGCTGTTATGTTATACATTTCATATTAATAATAATTTGCTTGTTAAAAAAATTATTACTATAATAAAATTTTATTATAATAAAATTTTAACTATTTTAATTTTGTGTTCTCTTAAAAACAGTATAGACTCTCCTATAAAAGAGCTATACAATTTCTTCCTTGATATACACAAATCATGCATCTTTAATAAAAAACAAGCTGAATGTATGGAAAAATGTATGAATGTAAAAATAATGCTTCCACATATATGATTTTCGTTAAAGTGCATCTCTCTCAGCTCATCGACTAAACTATAAAGGTATTATCTGATTTAAAATTTCACCACTCCGCAAGTTTGTATAAGAAATCAAGCAGGTTCATCTTGTTGTTTTTATTTTAATTATCTTATTTGGAACTTTTTTTCTCCCTCTAAAATCAAAAAACCTTTTGTCTTTTAACCTATGGTAGCAAGCTAAATCTTTATTAACCTCGTGTCATTTAAACTGTGACAGCAAGCTAAATCTTTATTAACTTTTCCTATTTTCCATATAGCTTGTTTGCCTTTTTTTTTTTTTCAATCACCCAAAATCTTTCCAACATCTTTTGTTTAAATAAGATTTTTGTTTTTTAATACAAGTTTTAAATGTCATATAGTAAATAAAAACATTTCATAAATAAAGTAATTTCAAGACATATTGAAAGAAAAAACAACTTTTTTGTATATATATATATTGTATAAATTTTTTTACTTTATTTATTTTTCCAACAATGTGAAAAAATGCTTTTTTTTTTTGTAAACATTTTTCTTTCATAGAGATTCGCGTGTCAGTTTTATCACTATTTTTATATTTGTTATGATTATGCAATAAGTGTAAAAATATATATATTTTTTTTAATATTAAATTTTAAAATAATTTCTTACACTAAAACATGATTTTCATTTGTTACTATTTTCTAATAATAATTGAAAATGAATTTCAAACATAATTTTTTAAAACTTCAGTTATTTTATTTTGTTGCCATGTCATAAAAACGTTTTTCCCACTAATCATAAACATCCAGCATACAATATTAGAAAAAGTAAATAAAATAATATACTATAAATTATAAAAACAATATTCAATAAATAAGAAACTCATAGAAAAAGATACCTTACTTGATCATAATTTTCATTACTTTTAGAACTAAATAAAAACAAACAAAACATAAAAATTATTTGCGTAACTTTATAATGAAAAAGCTGGTCATAAATTTCACACTCACTTGGACTCACTTTCATTCAAGATATATGTGCTCTTAACTAAAATAAAATCTTGGTGTACTTAGCCTTGCATGAAACATAATTAGCTTCAGTACATGCATCCATTTAAGATTTAGGTTTAGGCAAATACTTGCAAGATGTGTAGATAAAATTTCAATGTTTTCCTCTATCTTCTGTAAAAATGGGGAGAGACAATCTTACATGGATAACTACTCAAATTAAAATTTTAAGGAGTAACAAAGATTCTGTTCACCACAAAATACATAAACACAAGTATATTATTGAAAAACAAGGTATGGCAATTGCTACCTCAAAGCAGAAGCTTGGTCATAAAAACATTAATAAAGATTATAGATGTTACTTGATGAAGTCTCTTAAACTTATACATCACATTACTATTACAGTTGGTAACAATAAAATTAAACTCACAGGAATACATTATTAGTTTGCTAAGCTGCAAATTACTAATTTGACTAATTGCACTTGTTCAAATTATTATTTACTCGATAAAATGCAAAAATGATTAAACTAATAATTCAAAAACTTGATTTTGACAAAAAGGATTAAGACGGTTTCAACATGTAAAACATAAAAATGCAGATGATTGGGTATCAATCATTGAGGTAAATATAAGAAAACTTAGAGAAGGTGCATTAAAGGTGACACAATAGAGCAGTTTTCATGTCAACTTTAATGCACATTTCTGTAATTTCTTTGTATTTGAATTAAGAAAAAAAGATGCTCAAGATCATACATGATGATAATGATGTTAATAATGATGATGACGATGATGATGTTAATTATGATGATGCTCAAGATTATATATGATGATGATAATGATGTCAATAACAATAATATTAATGCATGATGACGATGTTAATGATGATGATGCTCAAGATCATATATGATGATGATTATAATAATGTTGATGATGATGATGATGATGATGATGATGATGTTAATGATGATGATATTACAATTATTATTATCATATATGATGATAATGATGATGATGATGACGACAAGAGGAATGTGTAGAGTTTTTTATAAAAACTGTATAGAAATACGACAAATTTGTTTAGAAACTTGACGCGATATAGAAATACTACTTTATTGTATAGAATTCCGACACATTATATATAGAAAAGCTACATCGCAAGGTAGAGTTTCTATAAAGAGGTTTTTATATTAAATTGTCGTTCGCCGTTTATATTGATTTAGTTCAGCCATTAAAATATTTTTCGCAGAATAATATTAGATATCAGAAAATAAGAAGATACATGGTGTTATAAATATATTTCTTTTTTTGAATAAACTCTTTAATAAGGTTTTTATTTTTAATTAGCTTTCTTTTTTAATAACTGATTTCTATTTTTCAACATCTAAGTGTTGTATTGAAACTATTACCAATAAATACCTTGAATATATTTAACACATATATATTGTATATGCGCATAATATATTTGGTACATATATTTAGTGTGTATATATATATATATATATATATATATATATATATATATATATATATATATATATATATATATATATATATATATATATATATATATCTGTGTGTGTGTGTGTGTGTGTGTGTGTGTTTAGTAGAAATCAATTATCAATTTTCATTTTACACATTTTTTTGTCAATAATGACTCTTCTAAAAAATAAATTTGTTTCTGAAAATTTTTTATTGACAACACATGTGTTAAATTAAAATAAGTAAATTATTTTTAATTATTTATTATTGCTCTGTTCTTTTAAGAGCATTCAGCACTTTATTTTATAGTAAACAATAATTATTGTTATATATATATATATATATATATATATATATATATATATATATATATATATATATATATATATATATATATATATATATATATATATATATATAAATTATGTTGATGTATATTATAATTAGAGTGCTCAATTTTCTTAATGATTAGAGCAATAACAAATTAAATTAGTAAAAACACTTATCTTATTTTTATCTTTAACAGATCGTTTTTCCATCAGGAAGATGAACCTACTGATGGAGAATATATATATATATATATATATATATATATATATATATATATATATATATATATATATATATATATATATATTTTACTAATATATATATATATATTTTACTAATATATATATATATATATTTTACTAATATATATATATATATTTTACTAATATATATATATATATTTTACTAATATATATATAATTCTTTGCTACAGTTGTTTTTAAAATTAAAATTTGTTTCAGAATACTTTCTTCATAAATTTTGGTTATATAGTTGTATAAAAAATATTCTTTCTAAGCTAAAGTTTTTATTTCAAACTAACATGGAGTGTTCAAGTACAGATAGAGAGAAGACTTGTTAACTGACATAAAGTATGTATTTGGTATAAGATATTGATATGTCCAATGATGTTAATTATAGATCTATTTCATTTTTAACTTGAGATTATTTACTGGCAGTAAAATTGACATTTTTTTTGCGTTGAAATACAATCAACTTCTGATGTAGGAGCTTCATAATCTAAAAACCTGATCAGTTAGTCTTTAATAAGTCATGTATACTTGTGTATTGATTTTGAAATGCAATTTGTATGTAGTCAATAAAGTATGGTAATAGTGTGGTAGCTAAAAAGTTATCTAATTTCTGGCTGTTTTAAGACACAGTGGTGAATCAACTTTGCAATAAAACGTCAAAAATAACAACTCTTTCGATTTGACCCAGAGACAATTTCATTTGTTAATGTCAAGAAAAAGTTTTATTGAACTTTTTTATTTATAGAAAATAGCTAATAAATATAGATATGTAAATATGTAAGTACTTATGTAAATTTAAAATTGTAAATGTAAAATACATTTTATATAGAATTATATACAATCTTCTACGTCTTATTTTTAAAAGTTTTACTTTGATTTTAAAGTTTGAATTTTTTAAATTTATTCTAAATAATTTGTTACTGTTTTAATTTTCTTTTAGTTTTTTTTAAATTTAAACAAATTGATGACTTTTGAAGGAGATTTAGTTTTTTGAGTTTAGATAAAGTTTAGAAAATCATCAGTTGATTTAAAATAGTACTTTACAAAAATGCACTTTTTAATAAAAAATATAAACAAAATAAAAAACTTGTATATTTTTGTTGAAACACTATTTTAAACAATAATCAAAATAGTTTTTTACATCTATAATGGTGGAAAAAGCGTTTAAAATTGAATTTGCTAAAATATTTTCCTGTCAAACTTAGTGGCATAAACAGTTTTTTAGTTTAAGGGCATATTTTAAATTTAATCAAGAATTAATGAAAATTTTCTTGAACTAATAGGTGATTTGACATCTAAACTAATTTCTTATTAAAAAATTTAACAATAATATTTAAAATCCAAACTGTTAACCAAATTTCTGAAGCATACTGAGGATACCCTAGAAATTTAAGGCGCAAATCATTAGCCAATAAGATATTACGTTTATAAGTTATTACTAAAATTGAAGATTGGCAAAAACACTTTTAAAGATTTTTTTTACTTTTAAAGGCTCTGTTATTAGCATTTTTTTTAGCAAAATAATCTAAATTTTGCATATTAACTGTTTCATATGGTCTAAATCTTTAATTAATGGCTTGTTTAAGAACAACTTCTTAGATTAACATTTATTTTTGTTCAATATTGAATAATGCTTTTCTCACACATTTCAACATGCAATATTATTTATAACATATAACGTCACAAGTTGTCATCATCAGCCAAAACAAATCCTTGGGCAAAAATATGTCGCACTGTCTTTGCTGCTAAGATAGCATACAATGAAATGGTTTACAAGACTTATTTTTGCTAGCTTTATTTTTATCATTTTTTATTTTTTGTTTTGGCATTGAAACAAACTCAGACGCCATAATAATATACCACTTGACCTCTTCTCTATGGAAATGCCAATATCCTAACTACATTAATGATAGCGTCACTTCATGCAGACTATCTTACTTGACACTTTGCAGCACTAATGCTTTGTTCTTTATTTGTTCTTTAAACTTTAGACCATCAGTGTTCGAGGAAAAAACCTAGACAAATAAAAGTTTTTGGATCGCTCTCCAGAATTTTTGAAAATAGAGATAGCAGATGCTGCTTTCCAGCAGGCTGGAAAACAAGAATCTAATAAGCACTTATTAAATAGTTTTGAAAGTATAAAAGACAGCTCCAGAGAGCACTGCAAGGCTATAACAGTTATTTTGTCCGGACCACAAGCTGTAGAAAAGTCTAAGCAGGAAAATACTAAAGATACAGAAACTGGAGTGATACGAATATCAAGCAGTGGATCAACCCATTTGTCGGCTATATCAGGTGGAACGCGACTAGTGGAATCGAGAGATGATATTGATGAAAAATTCTTAGCAAACAATTTAACTTTGTCTTTAGGCGAGATAACAAAATCTGAACCATACTAGAGATGTGGAATAACAGATTTTCCTTAATTATTGGTGCTGTTAAAGGTTCTCCATAAATCACGAGAGCTTAATTTTTATAATGAAATACAAGATTTCATATCTTAAGAATAGCGGGATTTGGCATAGAACAAAAACTTTTTACAATGGTTTCTAGCAATAGTAAACAGATGTATATTTTCTGGAGAATAGTTTTGCTAATAGATATGGAAGTAATGGTTTCCATTGAAAATTGAAGCAGCACAATGTGTGGCAAACCATGGAGAAGAGTGAGGCTTGACTTCAAATCTTCGAGAGAGAATTAAAGATATCATGCCAGTCGAAATCTATGAAGTTATGTAAAAAGCACATTTGTTAGCAGGAAGACGAAAGATTTCTACCCAAGGGCCATCACGAAGAAAATCACAAAAAGAGTTTCAATCGCTTTAAGGTAGTTGTAAGAGGTACATTGATAGGGGGATTCTGA